CTAAAATTACGTAACTAGTTCAATAAAAATTACACAATATAAACAAAGTAATTAAAATTTTAAAAATTCATTAAAACTAATTTAAAAAACGCATTAAAATTACGTAACTAGGTCACTGATTACGTCACAAGGTCATTAATTACATCACAAGGTCATTGATTACGTCACAAGGTCACCAAAAGGTGACCTACTTCCCCACCACCTCCGCCAACGCCAGTTGGCGTAGTATTTTACTATATGTCTTTGCGCCCTCTGCGCATCCTGCTCACCCACCCTCACCATCCCGATGCGCCAGGCTGGGAGTATTTTACTATATCTCTTTGCGCCCTCCCCACATCCTGCTCCCGAGTATTTTGCTATATGTCATTGCTCCTCACCATCCCCACCTGCGCCAAAAATGATACCCAAAAGTGACCTAATATACTACTCTTATGGCGCCTATATTAGTTTTAATGAGCCATGGGCCGTACACTACGTCCATGACACGTGGGTAGTCACCGAAGTGTGATTAACGTTCGCTCAAGGTTTTCATGCGGTATTATAGGTAAACCCGTGTCCCGACATTTATGATCCGAGCGCAGGCATTGTTTACATTTAAATAACTCAGTAGTAGTGTATTAGGTCATATTTGAGTATTACTTGGAGCAGGAGGATGAGGTCGTGACCTAGTGACCTCCGCGATACGGACGTCTCGTGTTTCTGCACCGCCCCTTGTGTTCCGGGAGGACAAGTAATTAGTCAGCTATCTTATTATCAGTTCATTATGTTACCAATTTCCTCAACTAATAGGAGCGTGATGCCTGGTCTTACGCCAGTTGTTAGTTACAATATTTGCATTAAAATTTGTCTTATTTACACCCTTTGTACTACATATAGTTTAGTAGAAGTTTTTTTTTTTTTTTTTTTTTTTTTTTTTTTTTTTTAGTACTTGCTTTTCGGTTTCATGAGTTTATTTATTTACATAGGTGAGACTATTTTGTAATCACTAAGTTTTAAGTTTTCCTAGGGTCTGACATTCTACACCTTTTTGAGACACACACACACACTCACATATACACACTCACATATACACACTCACACACAATTGAAACTAATATAAAATGAAATCATAACAAGTCTTCTTAAATTGTATTAATTTATTTAACGTTTTTCCAAATCATCAAAGGCTTTTAAAATATCATTTTGTAAACTTAACAATCTTTCAAAACATACTCGAGTCATAGTAATACGAGAATTAGTAGGAAATTTAAGATCTGCGCCATCTAAAAGATCTCTAAGATTTAAAGAGTTTTTGTTCATGAATTGACTGAAGATCGCCAATTTAAAGTCGCTGCGATTCGTCGTTCGTATTTCCGTAACTATTTTGCTACCCCTGGCCATAAGAAGCCAATACTCACTAGCCATCTTGAAATCGGGGAAATAAGCGTTTATAATTAGTTGCAATAATTTGAAGTGTTAATCGTGATATAATACGATCGTTAATGTATTATTGTTTTGGTGACGCTGAAAAGGGGCGTAGTATAACGTTTAAACTACCACCCCAAGCTTTCTCCAAAACAAAATAAACTGCAAAAGGCCAAAACTGTTGGTTAGAATATCTTGCAACGCTCTCTAATTGTAAACGAGTGGTCTGTTTGAATTATTTTTGAATGTCAACTAACTTAACCAGTACCAATTAACTGGGGGTGGGGGCCAAGCGCCATCTGTTGCTAAAATCAATACATGTATTTAACAGGACGGGATAGAATATCCCCGTCCCTTGTGTTCCGCGAAGCTGAGGCCAAGTAATCTTTAAAGTAATTATTCGTATATTCATTATAATATATTTTAAAGCATCTAGTAATATGCCCACTTCACTTTTATAAAGTATTGTAAAGGCATCCATACAGAAAGTATGCCCATCTTCATTTTATATATTGTAGGGGCATCTTGAAAGTAATAATGCTTATATATAATCGAAAATGCTGTAGTTAAGGTTTTGTTATACAAAATTAAATAGTACTACCATATTTTAAAATTAAACACACTAATTAAAAACAACAAACAAAAATTCATTTTAAAAAACGTTTTAATAACAAGCTTTTATGTAATAATGCACTAAAAAGTAGAAAATAAATTATGCACTATTATTTAAATAACTATAAAGAAAATCGTGGGTCACTTACGAGTAGTATATTAGGTCCCTTTTGGGTCGCAGGTGCAGGCGGAGGAGCCGGAGGGACAATGAGATATAGTAAAATACTCGGGATGGGGAGAGACAATGACATATAGTAAAATACTCCAGGCGCAGACCAGAGGGAGATCGACATACAGTAAAATACTCCGGAGGGGGGGTGGGGATGGTGATGGGGAGGTGGCGCAGGCGGATGGGGAGTAGGTCAGTAGGTCAGGTGAGGGGGTGACCTTGTGACGTAATCACCATCGGTGACATAGTTACGTAATTTATTTTTAATGAGTTTTTTATTTTGATTTTAATTAATTTGATTTTAATTAGTTTAATTTTTAATTAGTTTGAATTTTTTATTTATTTTGTTTTTAATTTTAATTATTATTTTTTTTTTAATTAGTTTAATTTTTGAAATTTAATTTTTTAATTAGTTTAATTATTATTTTTTAATTTTAATTTTTTAATTAAATTTTATTTTTTAATTTTAATTAATTTTATATTTGTTTATCTGTTTTTTTTATTTATTTGTTGTTTATTTGATTTTTTGTTTTTTTGTTTATTTGTTGTTGCTTAAAATAAGCGAGTAACGCTTACGTGTACAGAAATAGAAAGTTCTTTGTGTCGGGTCCCAACAACCATTAACCACATCTGGTACACATCAATCCACACATCAAAGAATTTCGACTCGCTCGCTGGTTTCGCCCGTGACAGCTCAGTTTGATTTATGACCGCACACACTTAACGGAGGCTCTAGGGCTTTTTTCATTACCTTGTTTTTAGGTGTTCTGGTACTAGCATTCTACACCTTTTTGAGATACACGTTTACACATTCACACACACACACACACACTAAAATTAGAACAAAAGTCTTCTGATATTTTATTTATTTATTAACGTTTTTTTCCAAGCCATCAAAGGCTTTTAAATATCATGCTGTAAACTTAACAAGCGTTCAAAACATACTCGACTCATAGTAATATGGGTGAGGTGGGCGAGCAGGTGGGTGAAGGGGGAGCAGGTGGGTGAAGGGGGAGCAGAAGCAGGAGTAAAGGATAGTGGGTGAAGGGGGAGAAGGTGGGTGAAGGGGGAGCAGGAGTAGAGGATATATAGTAAAATACTCCACCACCTGGGTGAGGTGAGTGAGGAGGTGGATGTTAATTTTAATTTCATTATTTTTTCATCATCTGTTAACTTTAAGGTTCTGTAACTCTATATATTTAAATACATTTTTTATTCAACCGAGTTTACTTTCCATAACGTAAGCACATGTAAAGGGTATTAATTAGTTTACAAGGAGAGTAATACAACCTGCTTTCACAACCATAAAGAAATAACGATTGGTAATTTGGAGTGGAAATTCATACTAGGTCGGTAAAGGCGGAGATAACTCATCGGTATACATTATCATGGTGACAACAAAAGCGACCCTTATTTTATTTACATGAAAGAGTGTTTTCCAAAAAGTGTCACCATTCCGTTGTCATTTTCGCAGCTGGGTTTATTTTAAGTGCACCCCGTGCAAGCTTGTTTACATTTAAAAAGACGTGTCGCGTGTCGTGCTCACGTATCTTCCCTAATAGACAAACGAGAGGAAAGACAACTGTTCTAAAATTAGCACAGTCTTGTTAACACCCCCGAGTAACGTCCCTTGTGAAAAAAACGCTCGTCAGAATGCTTTACTAAACATTCAATTTCTTTAACAAGTTAAAAAATAATTTAGGAAGACAATGGTTAACAACATTAAGACGCCTCCCTTTTTGTTTTCTGTGACGACAACTAAAAACAAAATTAAAAAACTCATTTAAAACGCATTAAAAACAAATTACGTAACTAGGTCACCGATGGTGATTACGTCACAAGGTCACTCCCTCACCTGACCTACTCCCCATCCCCATCCCCCTGCGCCACCTCCCCATCCCCATCCATATCCCCCTCCGGAGTATTTTACTATATGTCATTGTCCCTCCGGACTGCGCCGGCGCCTGCTCCTGGAGTATTTTACTATATGTCATTGTCCCTCCCCATCCCGAGTATTTTACTATATCTCATTGTCCCTCCGGCTCCTCCGCCTGCGCCTGCGACCCAAAAGGGACCTAATATACTACTCTTAAGTACCTATTGGATACCTTTACTAACATTTGAGAAGAGACCCACGCTTTTCTTTATAGTAGTGTATAATTTATTTTCAACTTTTTAGTGCATTATTACATAAAAGCGTGTTATTAAAACGTTTTTTTAATGAATTTTTTTTTCAGTACTTTACGTGTTTTATTTACAATAGTTACATGCCTAAAAACCATTGTCAAGTTTTAGCTAAAGTTTCAGTAAAGTATTATGAAATGGCGTAGTCTAGTGGTAAAGAACTAGACTGCTGACCCGACTAAAAACCAACGCGCGCCTATTGAACGTGATGACGCGCTTTTGACGTAGAGCACCCCCCCCCCCCTCGCTCCACGCTCAACACGGCCGTGATGACGCGTGTGAATAGAACTGCCTACTTATTCGGTCAAAATTTTTATTAATTCATAAAAATTTAATAAGCGACCAATTAAGTCAAATTGAATGTCACGATGCATTGTCTTCATGTCTTGACCCACGTACCAACTACGAACCGTACCTGTCAGTTAGAAGTACCTGCAATTTCCCACGGGCGTTTCGATCTAGACAGACAGACAGACAGACATAGGAAGTGAGTTAAATAAAAGCTTGTAATAAAAATAATTAAAAACAAGAAACAAATTTTAAAAATTAAAAACAAGCGAAAAAAAAAATCGATAGACTTGTTATGAGGTTTTTAGCAACAGATGGCGCTTCGCGGAAGCCTGCTCCCGCCTCAATATTTTACTAGATGTCTTTGTCCCAGGCCGCCACCACCATGATACACAAAGTGGGCCAATATACTACTTGTGATTCAGAAGTTTAAAGTATGTTTTAAGTGACAATTGACACCAGAATCTAGATCTAGATCTGTATCTGATTTACTAAATGACAATATTGTAGTTCTTTCGGTATGTAGACCTAACAAAATGAAAGCCACTCTGCAGTATTTATTCTTCGGCTTTGTTTGCCACTGTAACCTTGACCCAAAAAGCTAAAAATAGACCGGTGTGTTGACGAACCACCCGTAACCACCTAGGTGAACCACTCTCTCTAGCAGAATTTACTCGGCATAGGCTAAATACTGGGCCTGATGTCCTGCGCATTCGGTAATCTCACGATATAGCGTCGGAAATTATCGGGTAATGTTTGTTGAGTTTCGGTAACATTCGTTACTGTAAACCATCGTTTATTTTACCGTTGAAATAAAAATAAAGTCAAGTGCATTAAATTAATAATTTAACTTAATTTAAGGTTGAATTGACAGAAAATTAGCAACAATTAGAAAATTTAAATATTATTAATAAAGTCGAGTGTAATAATTATTTTTTTTTAAAGAAACAAAAAAAAAAAACTTGCAGAATATTTCCGACAACTAGATCTAGATCTACATCTAGTAAAATAATTAATGAGACGATTAAATTTACTTGTTAAAAGTAGTAAGAACTAGAACAATGGGTAATCTATCGTTTTGAGTACGTAAAATCGCCCGCGGCTATTAATGTACGAAAACGTTACCTCATTGTCAAGGCTGTAATAGAAGTATATTGTGATATGTTTATGTCAAATATTATAGATAAATGGATAATAAACCTAAATCAATGGCTAAATATATCAATATAGGCCAGAAATTAACTTTAAACAGCAGTGTCTGCAAGCAAGATTTGCTATATAAACAGCAGCCATTTGTAAAATAGAGTGACTTCCGCCTGAATCTTGCGTTTTAGTCTATAAAAATAAAACTTTTACAAAGATGGCTGCTATAGTAAATGAGCATGGTTGCATCTGTTGGAAACATCGCTAGTCTTCATTTATTACTGAAAAGTTTTAATTCAATTGTTTAAAAACAGGTACATAAATGAAACAAGGAAACATTTTTGTATTTTTAAAACAAATCCTCCTCAAAATGTGAAATAATTATTAAAATGTAAGGAGTCACCTGTTTTTCACATTACTAGTCGCGGGCGATTTTACGTACCCAAAACGATAGATTACCGAACAATGTTTAGTAGCAGCAATATTTTGACACATACTTTTAAAATAATTAGAAATACAAAATAAATAGCTAAACAGTATTTAAAATGCAACTAAAATCAATCGATACAAATTTGTAAACATTATGTACGAGATAAATTGCCCGTTGAGGAAGGATACAACGGGCGCTAGTGATAGTGCTATCTCTTTTCTCTAAACTAAAACCAAAACCAAAATCACCAGCTTAATTAAATTAACCGGAAACGAAAAATGACATTGAAAACGGATTTTTAACCAGAATCGGTACTTAAATCGGATTTAAGATTGTTACTGCAAATTGATATTATTTATAGTCGTAGACCCTACCGCTAACCCTTGCACCTAATCTCAATCGTGACTAAAGTCGCATTTAGAGTTTCTTTTAGCCGACTCTACTTGCCCCCCCCCCCCCACACACACACACACCCCAAAGCACATCTACCGTCCCATTCAACAAAATAGAATTTATATAGAAAATATACTTTCACCAGTGTCCGCCCCTTGCCAGAAAATTTAGTCCACCCGCACCCCTAAAAATTTCAAGTAACTCCCCCCCCCCCCCCTCCGAGAGGAAAAAAGTTTGAAAGAAACACTGGTCGTATTTGTAGATCATACAGACTAAAGGTAGAGCCTACTTCTACAATTTAGACTCGTTACATCGTTTCCTACTTTTGGCCGATAAACCTCACTCGCACAGACAGTGTTCATTCGGATATTTTTTCGGGGGTTGGGCACTTGAATTTTTACAGGGGCAAATAAAATTATCCGTTGCGGGGGAGCCCGACACTGGTAAAAGTATAATTTCTACATAAATTATATTTCGTTTTTTTTTTTTGGGGGGGGGGGGGGGGGGAGTTAGAAGTTCTACCCGGGGGTGGGGGGTAAATGGGCTTCGCCCCTACCCGAAGAGCTGCATGAAAGAAACTCTGCAAGCAAACCACTTTTAAGATTAGACACATGAATTAGAGTATCGATGACGTCATTTCTTGATTTAGGAAAAAAGTCACAGGAAAAAAAGTCACAGGAAAAAAAGTCGCGGGAAAAAAAGTCACAAATATATATTTGCATGGAATTTGTTAATACTTTTATGTATTAAATATTAAGAGAGTGCAAATTAACTAAGGATTAATTAACTAAAATGTAATGTAATGTGTGTAGGTTGTATACGCATAGTAATTTTTATAATTCATCTAAAAATATTTAATATGAAGTATGTAGATTGTAATTATGTTAAACATAATATTAATAGCATTTAATAAAATGCTCCAAAGTCCACGTTTTTCACCGTTTTTTTTAAATACCAACATCTGACTTACTGCCCTCAACTCATCGCATCAATAGTTATGCTTAGTTCAACCACCTTAACTGCCAACATTTTTCACGCTCATTACATAACAAAGCGTAGGATCAAAACAGAAAGCCGACAAGGTTCAAAGGCTGTCATTGACACAAAACGTGAACAACACACAATATGTTCGGACAATGCATACAGAGGAGAGGCTGGGAGAATAGATTACGGCATAACATACGCAAAACACAATGATGTGCCTAAATTTCTTTTATAATTAATTTTTCTCCCTCGTTTCTATACTACTAAAACTCACGTTTGTTTACATGTTTGAATATTTATTATTATTTTTTTGTCTGATTGGCTACTGGAGAGAATCTGCACTGTGTAGAGCTGTAAAATAGTATATAGGTAGAGAACAATTTTTTTTTCAGACAGACTGTTAATCACAAATTTATTTAAAGACGTTAATTAATTTATTGATTTATTCATAGGTAGATTAATCACATTAATTTTAAAAGTTTTAACATTGACTTTACTTTGTGGGAATAGTGACGTCACATGATTTGTTTACTTTTTAGTGCAATAAATGACGGCTTCAAACCAAGATTTAGTTGCCGATTTAGATGTCTAACGCGTTCTTAAACTAATTTTCTGTTGGCTATAACTTTAACAATACGTCCGTTTGCTATTTTTATTATGTTTCAACACTATTATCAATGTTTTAACACTTCTTTTTATTTTATTATACAATACATTTCTCTACGATCAACTGTCGAAGGAAGAAAAAGTTTAGATCTAAATCTAGGTCATCTAGACTTAACGTAAATTCTAGATCTAGACTTAATGTAAATTCTACATCTAGAATCTATTTCAGGCCTTAGGGGTCATCCTTAAATGACGTCACGTATTTTTGACGATTTTACATCCCCCTCCCCTCCGTCACACGTCGTCACAAAAAGCCAGACCCCTCCCCCTAAAATGACGTCACATCTCAACCTACAACCCCCCCCCCCCCTCAAAATTGCAGTTGAATTTTTTTAAAGCATCGATATTTTTCTAAAATCTTGTCTAAAATATTACAATTTATTAAAACAGTTACCTAAAACGCGAAATAACGTCTAAAATTCGTTTTCGAACATTGCTTTTTTATAATGCAAAAATGTGACGTCGCAACATATGAACCCCCCCCCCCCCCCGTCCCCCTTATCACACATCGTCACAACATTGCGGACCCCCCTCCCCCATACGAGTGTGACGTCATTTATGGATGACCCCCTAATTATTTTATATAAATCTTTGTTTAGCTTCAATGATCATCTAATTCCAGAACAGTGGCGTAGGCAATCGATACTTGTACTCGATGTCTCCGACTACTAGTTGCGCAGTTCTAACGTACAGTCCGTTTAATAAACATCTGCATCCTATCAATCAAAGTTGACAGGCCGTCTGAATCCCCTCGTACCGTTTCCCAAAATAGCACGCGTTGGCTTTGAGATTGTTATCATTCCGATCTAATAAGCCACCTGCTATCAGTTGCATCAGACTGTAATACTGCGTCTCGGCTTATCGTTCGTTATCAGATTTGTAACTAGTAGCTAGGCCTACCCTAGTTACATATATATATATATATAGCTGATCTGTAGATCTAGAGAAATTTATTGTATATTAAAATAAAAAGAAGTGTTAAAACATTGATAATGGTGTTGAAACGTAATATCTTAGTGGTTAGCACATTAGGTTACCATGCGAAAGCATGGGTTCTAGACATGTCATTGTTTTTGTTTTAATTCTTTTTTTTTATTTTAGTTGTGAATGATAATGTTGCCTTTGCCTATAGGAACTTAGCGAGACACAGGGCAGTTGAAGTTCACCTGTTTCTTTGTCCTCAGTATATAACGTGGATAGTGTGGTCAGAACCATGCTCGGCCGGAATCTTTTTTTTTTTTTTTTTAAAGATAAAACACGTTGTCTGAGACAAAAAAGTGTTGGTTAGGTGTAAAGTTCACCTGTGACGACAGCATATGAAGAGATAGTGTGGTCAGACCCACGCTCAGCCAAAATCTAAATTTTCACACACAAAAACATGTCTGAGTTGGGAGGACACTGGGCAGGTGAAGTAGAGTTGACCTGTTTTTGTGACCTGAGCATATGAAAATATTATGTTGCAGCCCCATGCTCAGACGAAGTCAGTGTTTTTAAAAGACAAAAACGTCTGATGTGTGACGCCTTTTTTAATGTGGGGGTCTCGGGTCTGGTTATTTTGTGATGATTAGTGACAGACGTGATGTCATGTATGGATGACCCCCGAAACCCACAGTTATCTAACTAGATAACGGGTAGTCTAGTATTTAACTAAATACGTAACAAAAGTTGAGATTGTTGTGTAAATTATCTTAGAGTATTTTTTACTTACAATTGTTTTAAACCATAATGCTTTTAATGTATATAAATATTTAAAAAAAATACAACCCACAACAATACACATACAAAATTTTACAATTCTTAACAGATAAATCAAAATATTTCTAAAAATATTTTTGTGACTTTTTTTCTGTGACTTTATTTCTGTGACTTTTTTTCCAATAAAATTTTCGAAAAATTTTTCCATTGTGACTTTTTTTTGTCTTTTTTTCCTAGCAAACACTGACTTTTTTTCTGTTCTCCCATTTCTTTTGATTTACACTATTTCCGGTGGTTTCCGGAACGGCTCGACCAACTACGCCATGGTTTACTATTTTTTACTGCTGTACAATTCCGGAATAATAAAAAGGACGCTAGGCCGAGCCTATACTATATTGTGAATTTTACCGCTCATTCTACCACTTCGTGCGTAAAGAGTGGACTAAGACCTAGGACAGACTAGGTAGTACCCCAGACTAGGCCTAACCTCGATCTTGACAAACGGAAACATTGTTCACGGTAAGCTTCGGGGCTGATTTTTTTTTTCGGGCAGGTATTTAGACCAGGCCTAGTCTAATAGATCATTTTATTGCTCTCTAGAATTCCAAGGTCTGGAAAGCTAATTCGGTAAGGGATAAATCTAGTCGAATAGAGTTTCAATAGAGAGATAGAAAATAGATCTAGAATCTAGATCTAGTTCAAAATTATTTCTAGAGATCTAGATTCTAGAATAGATCTGGGTACGTATGGGGTAGAGTCTAATCTAGATCTAGAATCTAGAAGATCTAGAGAGGTCTAGATTTTCTAGATTCTGAGTGTAGAAAATCCATGCAGTAGAATCTAATGGACACCAGCGAGTTGACGAGATTCCTTCCATATTTATTCCATAATGTTGTTGACATGGAATAAAAACGTGCTTTTTAGATTTAGACCGTAAAAAAAAAAAACTTAAGCCTAAAATTAATTTAGAAATTTTATATTTTTAGAATAAATGCTAGATATAGATCAGAGTAGATCTAGATCTATAAATTAATTAAATTTACTAGGCCTATAAAAGTTGCAAATCCAGAGAACTTGAAAATAATTTGTTGAGTTTAAGTTTAAGGCTACATTTCTATTTATTATTTATTTTCATCAAGCCTAAGTTATAACCGGATGTTTCACTTTCGTAAGACAAATATTGATTGGCTGTACAGTTACTTAGTGATCGATAACTAGATCTAGATGTCTATTTGTTTACAAAACTTTGCAGATCAAGTTTTTAAATAACAATGCAAATTTAAAACCCCATGGCCTAGTTTTCTATTTTTAGCTTACAATGTGTACAATAAAATTTATGACGGCCTATCCAATAGCAGGATGCCATTGTTTATGTCGCCATTACACGTGAAAACCAAATTGTTTTTGCTTTTTTTTAAAATTACCGAAAATATTAAAAACATCAAATACATCCAATCTTTAGTAAAGTCAGAAAAAAACCAGACAGGCAGGATTTTATAACCATATTAATTGTAACTAGATCTACGCTGTGCAAGATTCATAAATTATAAAATTAATTTATGGACCTCTCAAATACCTTTGAGACTTTTCTCGCTGGTGTCCATTTAAACTTTAAACTAGATCTACTTGATCTAGAATATAGATATCTAACTAGATCTAGATCTAGAAATCTAGATATTTAATTTATAGGCCTCTCTTAGATCTAGATTCTTTCTAAATTAGTCTAAGTCAGTAGAATCTAGATTTAGATCTAGATCTAGTTACAATCTAGTAGATCTACTAGATTTAGTAGATTCTAGATGTCTAGGCCAAAATAGATAGATTAGTACTAGATCTAGATGTAGATCTAGATCTAGATTCTAGTAGATCTAAGTCAATAAATTATACTTAATTATAATATAGGCCATAGGCCTAGTAAATTGTAGACTAACAAAAGTTGATGAGAATCCTTCCACCCATCATCATATTGTTGTCATGAATAAAATTTTAAATCTAGGCCTTGAACTAGAATCTAGATCTATATAATATTATTTTCATGAAGCCTAAGTTAAGTTAATCCAATGTTTCACTTTTGTAAAACAAACATTTATTGGCTGTACGTTCTCTGTACAGTATACAGGAGCTCTGTGATAGAAGTGATACTGAAAGTTAGGCCTATTTGTCTACAAAACTTTGCAGATAGGCCCTAAATTTTTAAAATAACAATGCTGTTTTAAACCGCATTACCTAGATCTGGTTCTGTCATTAAAGTTTACATTTTGTAAAGGCCTAATCTTATTAAAATTTATTCTCGGTGGCCTCAGCTAATATAAGATTAGATAGATCTAGAATAGATAGATATCTACACTTAACTAGATTACAGCTCAAGAATGGACACTAAGACGTTGACGAGAATCCTTCCATCATATTGTTGGATTAAAATCGTGCTTTTTTAGATTAAGTCATCAAAGAGTCCTTCATTTTAAAAAGAAAAAAAAACACTTGAGCCTGAAAATAATTCAGAAATTTAATATTTTTAGAACCAGCCAAGTTAAACCAACGTTTAAAAAGTTGCAAATCTAGAGACCTTGAAATTTTTAAGTTTAAGACTAAATTTAAGATCTTAAGTAGACCTACATTTCTATTTGTTTTCATCGAGCCTAACTATAACCCTGAGTTAAACTTTCATAACTTTCAATTTTTTAAAACATTCCAGTAATATTAGGCCTAATAAACAAAGATTATAGTCATTACTACTGTTATCTCCCTTATTATTGAATAGTTATTTTTTAATTAATTTTTAATGTCTCAAATAGTATCTGATTAGGGGGTCGGCGTGGTCGAGTCGGTAAAGCTCATGGTTGCTAAACCGAAAAGTCTCGAGTTCGAACCCTCGGGCAGATGAGGCTCGTTAGCTGGGGACAGCCACTCTTCTAGGAGAGACAACTCCAAAATTAAACAACTGCTGCCTTGTAGTTTGTTCTTGGTTTGACAAAGCAAATCCAAAAAGAAAAGCAGGCTGAAATCGGAGTCAATGGCCTCAATGGCGCATAACCAATTGACACGTAACGCTTAATTGTGTTGGAGGCGTGATCGAGTCGGCTAAAAAGCTCATGGTTGATAAATTCGAACAAAGTCTCGAGTTCAAACCCACTGGCAGATAAATCTCGATCCCCTTCAACACTAATAATTAAGAACGAAGAAGAAGAAAGTATCTGATTACATTAAAATATAATAAAAAAAAATTTTGTCAATGGAAATCAATTTATACGGAAAATTTGATACAAGTCCATGTGTGGGTCAAAATTTATATAATGGAATGTGTGGAAATGCTTCAAATCCACAAATTGGCATTGTGACCATAATAAAATCTTACAAAAATGGCCTTTGTGGAAAAATGTCTAATCAGTACTTAATACTGAATTTTAGCTAATCAGTTTTGAAATTTTAAAATTTTATTTAGTGTTTTATAAAAAAAAGTATCATAGAATTATCAAACTATACTTTGTAATCTTAGCCATTTTTGAGATTTAGTTATGTGCAATATTTTCTGTACATTTATGTTATTATCCTTTGTTTCCAAAACAGACTGCCTAATTTTAAAGTAAAATCCTTGAGAAAGTGACAAACAAGCAAATGCATTCTGTGGATCTACTAAGAAGATGAATAGCAAAGATCCTACCTCATCAAGTAATGCTCTGCTAGAAATTACTAAAGTCTTTAGTCTTGCCGATAGCATTACTATCAATGATGATCCTCAAAGTCCACCAGTATCCAAGATACAAAAAAACACCAAAGAAAAAAGTGCACACCTTATACCAACAAATGTTCCACTTCAGTCTGAGCACAGGGGGGCTGGGAGAAGAAATTCTGATGATCCATATGAGGTTCATGCAGCAGAAGATCCTGTTTTCAGTCAGACAACCAGTACAGCTGTCCCAAATGCCTCCACAGCCGTGCCAGTAACTTGTTCCAGTGTGCCCAAAATTTCAGTGCCTGAAGTTATTGATGTTGATGAAGAAGATCTAGATGATTGCAAACTGGTCAAAATTGATCTTAGTCAGCGCAAATTTCCTTTTGCCAAAAAGTTCCAAAACACTGAGGTCATCTGCCTCGCTGAGGACAGCGATGAAGGTGAAACAGAAGCTAGCGCTTGCCATGCTTCTAAAAGCAGTAGAGAAAAATGTGGCAATACGGCACCAGTTGTTACATCTACTGACATATACATTGACAGATCAGGGTCACCAGAACTTGATATGGAAGTAGACGTAATTAATGAAAATATTTCATATACTTATCCAGCCCAATTGCCAACACCTGAAATAGAAACAGATGTGATCAAAGAAAATATTTCTGAGCCATCAAAATCCCAAGCACTGAAACAAGATTTAGTAAAGTACAATACATGTATAGATAATGTTGTAGATAGTATGAGTACAGAAAATCGTACCAATCTTGTGAGTAACAGCATCCCTCCAGTCACTTTGGCAGAGAAAACTTTTCCCCATGGTAAAGCATCACACTGTGTGATCTCCTCATCCACCACCCTTGTAAATGATGCAGACAATGTCAATCCAGTCATCCCAATTGCATTACATGTTAACAGTACTGTGGCAGACGCAGCGAGTGACGTGGCAGTTGGAGGCTTTTTGTCATTGCAGAGTTTACCTGTACATTTTTCTGACACTGTTGTCATGAATGCTTTATATTCAGACTCTCAACACCCTTTAAAGCTTCCAGCAAGCCAAACATATGCTGCTATAAGACAAAAGCTTTCGAATTTACCCCAGGAAAATGCCATGGAGAAATCAGGAACCAGATTGTTACCCTGTAAAATATGCTCTATGGCGTTTGAAAATAGGTTAGCACTTGTGGAGCATACAGTCACATGTCACAAACCAAAACAAGATGCTGTCATTAAGCCTGAGGTCTCACTTTCTGAGCTTACTGCCAGTAGTTGCAAATCTAAAGAAGATGCTGTCATTAGGCCTGAGCTATTACATGTGGAGCATACTGTCTGTAGTCACAAATTTAGTCGATTTCCAATCCTTATGACTCGATTAAGAAAATCAAATGATTTCAAAAGCACTTCCAATGGCCTTAAAAACACATCTTTGCCTCCTGTAATGACAACAAGTGGTGTAGAAAATGCAAGTCATGCCATCATTGTGGGAGACAATCTGATAACTGCTCACTCCCGTCCTGAAAACCTGACAACTACTCTTCCCAAAACAAATGTCCATCCAGTTGAATGCCACAAGGAGAATGAGCCTGAAAACAGCTACAACTCATCTCATCAAATAGAGGGCCCTGGTAGCAGCATGACACACTACAAAAGTCTTACTGGCTCTGGTCAAACTGAGGGCAGCACGACACACTACAAAAGTCTTACTGGCTCTGGTCAAACTGAGGGCAGCACGACACACTACAAAAGTCTTACTGGCTCTGTTCAAACTGAGGGCAGTAAGACACACTACAAAAGTCTTACTGGCTCTGTTCAAACTGAGGGCAGTAAGACACACTACAAAAGTCTTACTGGCTCTGGTCAAACTGAGGGCAGCACGACACACTACAAAAGTCTTACTGGCTCTGTTCAAACTGAGGGCAGCATGACACACTACAAAAGTCTTACTGGCTCTGTTCAAACTGAGGGCAGCAAGACACACTACAAAAGTCTTACTGGCTCTGTTCAAACTGAGGGCAGCAAGACACACTACAAAAGTCTTACTGGCTCTGGTCAAACTGAGGGCAGCAAGACACACTACAAAAGTCTCACAGACCCTGGTCAAACAGAGGGCCCTAGTACTAGTAAGACAATACAAGAGAAAAGTCTTCCTGGCACTGGTCAAGCTGACAGCTGTGTTAAGACCCCGCCAGATGTTCTACAAGAGGATATCAAGATCAACTGCCCATCCTGCCACTACCCCTTTGGCACCACTGCTGAAAGAAATGAACATCTAGTACGAGAAAAAAAGTGTGCACATGTTCTTAGCTCCTTCTGCGCTTGTTGTAGCCTGCACTTGAGCTCAGCAGCTGAAAAAGAAAGACATTTGTTGAATTTTGATGAGTGCATGGTGCAGGAACTGGTACTTAAGATAAAAATGAATGAAAAAATTGAAAGCCCCAGTTTGAAGAAAAATTCACCAGTTGAAAAACCTCAGTCAGCTACAGAACAGAGATCTTCCAATCAACAGACACTCCCTGTCAGCTCAGGCCCCACTGCCCACCCTCCACAAAAAAAACCTCAGCCAGCTACAGAACAGAGATCTTCCAATCAACAGACACTCCCTGTCAGCTCAGGCCCCACTGCCCACCCTCCACAAAAAAAACCTCAGCCAGCTACAGAACAGAGATCTTCCAATCAACAGACACTCCCTGTCAGCTCAGGCCTCACTGCTCACCCTCCACAAAAAAAACCTCCCGCCATAAAAATTGCATTTAGGAGATCTGCTAAATTACATAAACCTAGATCTGAAATCCCAGTTGAAAAAACAAACAAGTCTAAAAACACAATCACAAGTGCAACTGGCCTCGTCAGTGACAAGAAGTGTGTGTCCCCTGTAAACCTGGGCATACACACTTCTAACCAGACAAGTCAACAAGCCATTCATACCCAGCAGGCAGAACCTTGTAAGATGAAAAACCTAAAGATAGTTTTGCAGCATGTGTCTGTCATGTGCAAGGTTTGTAAAAAGACTTTCAAAGATAGCTTTGAGTTTTCTAAACACCAGGATATTTCTGAAGCATGTAAACAGAAAGAATGTGTTGAATCAGAAGTGTTGGTCTCACCTTCCCCAAAAAACTGTCTTCCTAACTTGTCCAGTAGTTCACTTTGTGCCGAGCAAGGTGCAGTCCCAGCTCCACCACTGGTAGAATCTGATCTGGAGTTCTCTTCAGAGGAAGACGTGTCCAGCTACAGCTCCAGTAGTGAGGCTGGCACTGTGGAGTATAAATGTAAAATTTGCAAGAACTTATTCTCTCACAAGTCCAGTTTCAAAAAGCATGTCAAAACACATAATCCGCATATTGCTGAGAAGAAACAAGCCAAGAAAATGCGCTGCAAATGTTGTACCCGCAAGTTTACAGATGATACAGCTCTGCAAGCCCACCTTCTCAAGCGGCGCTTTTGTTTTCTAAATGTTACCAAGGCTTACATGAATCATTCCGTTGACTTCTTTAATTGTGGTATGTGTGGTAAGGTTTACCCAACAGCCAAAGATTTGAGGAAGCATGGTTTTAGAGATATGACCTGTCGCCTACGTCTAGTTGACCTGGTTTTGAAAGAATATAAAGCCAAGGCTGGCACTCCGGCCATCCCTTCTTCAAGCACTGAACAAGTGCTGCCTGATACAACTGTAAGCAGTAGCTCTAAGGACCCCCCAGCTGTCCAGTGTGACAGTATATCTTCTGACCTACCTGCCACTGAGCATACTGCATCTATTAACCCACTTGCTGATCAGCGTAGCACATCTAGTAACTCACGGGTTAGCCAGCCTGATACAGTATCCTGTGACCCACCAGCAATTCAGCATAACACCATTTCTTCTGACTTGAATGTGCTTGACAAGAAACAAGAAAGTAGTCCAAGTACTTCAAATCCTGCAAACGAAAATTCTGCTAATAGGAATGTGTGTAAAAGTTGTGGAAAATCATTTCTTATTTTAAACTTTAGGTATCATTTGTTAAGCAGTAGAGCATGTTATAAATATTATGATGAACACAGAACAGAATGTCCAAAACATTTAGCATTTTGTTTTGAATGCAAAAGAGGGTTCAAAAGTCTGAAAGATTTCTATACCCACAAGTGTGTGCCGTTTGACGTCTGCTGCTCCAGCTGTGGACAGGGGTTTAAGCTTAAATCCCACCTGCGCATGCATTTAGCAAAGTTTGCATTCTGTAGACAAGCTCTGAGCAAGGCAAAGCTGGAACCAACAGCACAAGGATCATTGAAAAGTGCCAGCAGTGATTCTAACACTGTAGCTTCAACACTCCCAGAACTGCAGGCTGTTTCTGTTGTAGCAGATACCTACACATGTTTGCTATGTAAGGCTGAGTTCCCTAACCACAAGGAGTTGTTAGAACATAGCTACCAACATACTGAAGAAAAGCCATACCAGTGTAGTCGGTGTTCTGTTACCTTTTTTCATTTTAATCGTCTAGTTTCCCACGATGGATTTCATAGAAGAATGGACAAAGAAGCTCGCTTGAGTGCTGAAGCTACCCACAAGGATTCAGCCCTGACAGATGTGAAGCCAGCTATCATCAAGCAGGACCTGAGCAGTCCAGATGGGGCAGCTAGAGACTTGTCTAGGCCTGCTGAGAACAGCTACAGTTGTTTGGTTTGCCAGGAGAGCTTCAACATGTTTCATCAGTTCAAAGTTCATGTTAGAAAACACTCTAGGACTTCCTTCTATTCTTGTAGCATCTGCCTGAAAAAGTTTGCTACACAGGATGCTCTTAACCACCATGTTAAACAACATGAGCAGCCAAGAGCTGGAGTCAAAAGAAAATCTATCACAGTCAAGGCACTGGAGCAGTCAGCCAATGTGGTGGAGCAGTCAAGTAGTGCTGTGGAGCAATCAGGTAATGTGGTGGAGCGGTCTGGTAGTGTGGTGAAGCGGTCAGGTAGTGTAGTGGAACAGTCTGGTAGTGTGGTGGAACAGTCACATAGAGGGGAAGATGAGTCCACTAGTGAGGTGGAGCAGCAAAGTGCTGTAGAAATGCCAGCAAGTGCCACTGAGAACTCCACTGTTTGTGCCAAGCCCTCCCTCTCTCCCACCCAGAAAAGAAAACATCTGGATGACGGTGCAGGATGCAGTCAAGGCAAGTCTCTAAAGCTTACAAGTAGCTTATATGGCTGTTTATACTGCCAGCATTATTTTCCCTCTGACCAAGAGAAGAGGAAGCATATGATCGAGTCCAAGGCCTGCAAAGATCAAATGAAGAACACCTTTGATAACAAATTGTATACGTATGCTAACAGAGATAGTGGACAGAATTCTAAGTTGTGTGTATTTTGTGGCGGACACTTTGCAAATATGTTTGCACACCTCTTGGATTCAACATGTTTTCAAACATTAGAGCAGTCTGTGATCGATCACAGAAAACTTGAGAAGTTAGGAGTTAAAGCGGAAACATGTGCTGATGTTGCAAAACCTGCAGGGTCTCTGCCTGCGTTTCCCTGCATAGTGTGTAAGAGAAGTTTCGAGAAGGAAGGTTTCTTAAAACAGCATATAAAGAAACATATGTCGATGTTTAAAAATGAGTTGACAGATATTGAAGGCGACATCGCCTTTGATGAGCACCTTTACTGCCACATCTGCTTGAAATATTTAAAAACTGTGAATTTTGTGAAACAGCATGTGCTGCTAGGTCACTGCACCAAACCCATATCCCGCAGTGTGTACCAAAATGTGGTTTGTAAAGCTGGTGCTTATTGGTGCAATATTTGTGACATCAAGTTTGAGTCTAGTAAATATGATGATCTGATCACACACATGTATGAGAAGCACAATGAAGGCACCAGCAAGCTTTTAAGTGTGTTCAACAGGTTGAGTGGCAGTCTGAAAGCTCAGTTAAAGAAAGCTGCAAAACAACCCAGCAAATTCTCCTGCACACTCTGTGGTATCACCATCCTTACCACAGGGAAAAGGGCTCATTACAACATGCATGTGAAAAGAGTTTTAGCTGAATTGAAGAGCCGCCCCATCAGCTCAGAGGTCATCTGTCCCATCTGCCAGCATAGCTTTAACTCCGCTAAAGGTTTGAAACGTCATCTTCAGCGACATGACATGAACGACATTGCAGATGCTAATGTAGGTGCCAACGTGTTTTGTCGCATTTGTAAAAAGCACTTTTCAAGTTCAGAACTACTGAAGGCACATGTGGAAACTTGTCATCTAATTGAGTTGTCATGTAACTACTGTGATGGAATATTTTCTACAAAGAGAACCCTCAGAAGACACATCAGTAGAGTACACAAAGAGTTGAATATAGCTGAAAATGAAAAAAATTCTGATCAGACTGGAGGGTCTACTGTTGGAATGGATCAGGTTAATGGGTCTAATGTTGACAGTATAGCATCCAGCATTGTAAAAAAGGAGTCAAAAAACTGTGATGACCATGATTTAAGCAATCCACATCCTTGCCAGCAAGGTGATCAGTCTTCTCAAGGGGCAGCAGCTTTAAAACTGCACACAGTAGACATAGACCAGAAGCAAGCACCTGGTCCAGAGCCTCTCAGGGACAACCTGTCACATGGTAAGCTTGATACAATCAAGTCAGTTGAACAAATAAAAACCAATTCCATCAGTCAAGTTAAGAAGGATTTGGAAGGAGAATCTTCATCATTAGCCAAGGGGAACTCTGTCAAATGTAGTGTCTGTCTGAAGGCTGTCAGTGCTGTAGAATACTATGACCATCTTTCAGGTCTACACAACTGGACTGCAGACACAAATTATACCTGTTCTTTTTGCCATGTCAGGTTTCCCTACAAGTATTTGCTTAATGAGCACACAATTCAATGTAAAAGTAATTTCCAGTGTAAACTTTGTGATAGAAAAAATTTACAAAACTTGAGAACCCATGTCATTCATTTCCATAAATATGATTGGAACAGTTACATCAGTCAGTTTACAGTGCCAATTATCGCCATAGATAACGGTGGTCTTGAGATTTCTAATCTTGGCGTTGGGTTGGTGCCCCAGAGTAGCCTGAAAGTGTGTGGGTTGTGTGGGGTGGGGTACACTCAGCTGTCCGAGTATACCACCCACATTCACACCCACATCAAGAGGTGCAGCGTCAAGCTTCATGCTCTAGACCAACCTGAGGATACAAGACATGATCCACCAAGTGCTGAGACATCTGAGCAAGGTCAGGCATCTGATTGTGATAGTGTTCCAGCTGCTAGTGCAGAAATCCTTCCATCAGAGCAGCATGGCAAGCTGGGACCAGCTGACACAACACCAGCTCTAATGAACACATGTCATCCTGAGCTCAACTATGACCTCACAAATGAAATAAGTGCACAGGGGGATATAGCTGAAGCATTGGACGAAAATTCACTGGAAACTGTTGCACCTTCACTCTGGGATTCTGAGAGCTCCAGTACAGAAGATAACATTGCCTCTTCAATGAATACAGAAAGCCCTGATTCACAGGAAACAATTGCCCCTTCAGTAATTACAGAAAGCCCTGATTCACAGGAAACTGTTGCCCATTCATTCTGGGATTCAGAGAGCCCATGTTCAAAAGATAACATTGCCCCTTCATTCCTTACAGAAAGCCCTGATACACCAGAGTATGTAGCCCCTCCAGTGTGTAATCCAGCTTGCCCTGATCCACAGGAAGAGATAGTTACTGTAGCACAGGAGAAAGCTCCAAGCAAGAAAAGAGAGATGTGCTCAGAGGATCCCCTGCCCAGCAAGAAACAAAAGCTCCTGTCCAATGGACACATAGATTATCAGTTTGATGACCTCCCTGAGCTGGTCATTGAGAAACAAAATGAAGATACCCCAGTACCAAAGAATGATCTAGAACTTCCAGACTTTGTCTTTAAGAAACAACCTGCGGATACCTCCCTACCAGATTCATCACCTGACAATTTCCTTGATGACCCTCCTGAGCTGGTCATTGAGAAACAAAATGCAGATACCCCAGCACTAAAGAATGATCTAGGACTTCCAGACTTTGTCTTTAGGAAACAACCTGCGGATACCTCCCTACCAGATTCATCACCTGACAATTTCCTTTTCTCAGGCACTTGTGACCCGCAGACTCGCAATGTCTTTCAGGTCTTCACAGAAAGTGGTGCCACCAATACAACAAGACATGTAGAGGCCATTCCAACAAAACCATTGCAAGAGTCCATTCCAACAAAACCATTACAAGGTGACCTGTCAACTGGGGGGGAAAAAACGCTGAACAAAAATTCACATCCATCTGTGGTCATCTGTAATCAAGAACGAAATGTATTTAATTCTATTCATATTTAACATGGGGACTTTGATGTGTAATTAATAAATGTGCTACATTGCACTGTTGTACCAATTTTTTTTTAATTAGATTTTAGGGAATATTATCTTACAGCTCAGTTATTTCATGATGGTAAAAGGCTTTGTTTATACCCTCATAAAACTTATGAGGTCATCATAGTCATAGTGTTTCTTTAAACCCTCGTAAAACTACAAGTATAAAGATAGTTGTGTGCTTTGTTTTAAACCCTCATATACTACAAGTATAAAGATAATGTTATGATTTATTTGAACCCTCAAAACTATTGTTATGGTTATCTCTTTGTTTAAATAAAACTTGTGTATGGATTATTTATGTCTGGGAAATTACATTAGTCTTTTATCAGTCATCAGAAACTTATCATCATCTTAAAAAATATGTACTTAATAATCATTTTAGCACTAGGGCAAGGGTCGGCAACCTGCGGCTCGCGAGCCGCATGCAGCTCTTTTGATATCAAGATGCGGCTCTCCAGCTCCTTGAACAAATACTAATAATCTTAATAAAAAAAAAAATATTTGAAATAAAAAAATGTTAGTGGCTCTTTAAAATCAGGGAAATTTTGAAAATTGTAACTTTTGGCTCTTCCGCTTCAAAAGGTTGCCGACCCCTGCACTAGGGTCATGCTCACTTGGCCAAACTGGTTGAGCATTCCCAGCAAATAGTCAAGGCCATTAAAAACTGTTGTTTTTTTTTTGTTTGTTCATGAGATTTTATTTTTTGCCTGTTAAATGTGTGAAATTTATCTATGAAGTGAGTTTGATAATCGTAATAGTAACAATCTTCAATTGTCAAGGTTTTATTAATTTCACTTTTTGAAATGTCATCTTATAATAAATGAAAATAGCAATAACAAATGTCACCATACCTAGGCACCTAAACCTCTGCTGTTTTATAGTGGTGTCTTGTTCATTGCATTGCAATTGTTTTTTTTTTATGTACATATTTCAAATTGATACGAACATAAGTAATAATTCTTCTATTTATGTATTCAATGTTTGATTTTTTTTTTCGTCCTCGCTGTTTTTCTACTTTCATGGTTAATAAATAAAATAAAATACATTTAAATTGTTTTCCAATCATAACTCTGTAAATGGAAAACTGAATGGGCTGTAAGTTTCATATGTGCAAAAGTAAACAGCAGTGTAGCATGGGGGTTTCCCCATTTTTTGAACCTCCATTTAAGATTTTAAATGTCATACAACCAGTTACTTTTTAAAATTCATTCTAAGTTCTTTTGAGAATATATCTTCTTGGAGACGATAGAAAACAAGCTGTAAGCGCGCTCCCTACCACCCCTACATGGTCTGGTGAGCTGTAGTTCACGCTAAATATTTACAATGGTAGAGCCGGATTGAATTAGTGACGGCTATTAGGGGCAGATAATTTAGTATTTAAACTATTTGAAACGAAGGGGGTTTTACAATTTCTGCTTGATCTTTTCATTGTCGTCTGTAAACTGGGGCCATGGACGCAGTGTTTCTTCCAGACTTTTTTCTCCTGGGGGGGGGGGGGGGGGGTTAAAAATTAAAAGTATATTTTTTCTATATAATTTTTATTTCGTTCGGGGGGGGGGGGGGACGAATTCGCAAATTATGAATTGCTGATAAGCAGAAAATAAAACAACTAGGTAGCTTTGTGGGTCGGCTCGTACTAAACATTACGTAATTGGCGGTACCAAAATAGAATAGTTAGACCTTGATAGAGCTTGACTAAAGGGGAAGTGGCAGAAGTTTGTACGAAAGAGACGCACAATGTCTGGGTGTGTATGTAAGAAGTGATACATGAAGCAGAAGGCTAGCGAAAGGTGCAGAGATCGTGTTGGGATGATTTGAGATGACGTGTGCGGATAGAAGATCAACACGGCCTAGGCTATGGTGGCCAAGGCTGCTACCAAGGGGTGTTTGATTTGAGGATTGCGACCGGGCTAGCTCACGAAGAGCACCGTTGAACGCCCCGCCGCAGAGAACGATTGGACAGAGACCGGTGTCAGTAGAACATGAGATGTGAGTGGGACAGAGACCAGGTCAGTAGAACATGAGATGTGAGTGGGACAGAGACCGGTGTCAGTAGAACATGAGATGTGAGTGGGACAGAGACCGGTGTCAGTAGAACATGAGATGTGAGTGGGACAGAGACCGATGTCAGTAGAACATGAGATGTGAGTGGGACAGAGACCGATGTCAGTAGAACATGAGATGTGAGTGGGACAGAGACCGGTGTCAGTAGAACATGAGATGTGAGTGGGACAGAGACCTGTGTCAGTAGAACATGAGATGTGAGTGGGACAGAGACCTGTGTCAGTAGAACATGAGATGTGAGTGGGACAGAGACCGGTGTCAGTAGAACATGAGATGTGAGTGGGACAGAGACCGGTGTCAGTAGAACATGAGATGAGAGTGGGACAGAGACCGGTGTCAGTAGAACATGAGATGTGAGTGGGACAGAGACCGGTGTCAGTAGAACATGAGATGTGAGTGGGACAGAGACCGGTGTCAGTAGAACATGAGATGTGAGTGGGACAGAGACCGGTGTCAGTAGAACATGAGATGTGAGTGGGACAGAGACTGGTGTCAGTAGAACATGAGATGTGAGTGGGACAGAGACTGGTGTCAGTAGAACATGAGATGAGTGGGACAGAGACCGATGTCATTAGAACATGAGATGAGAGTGGGACAGAGACCGGTGTCAGTAGAACATGAGATGTGAGTGGGACAGAGACCTGTGTCAGTAGAACATGAGATATGAGTGGGACAGAGACCGGTGTCAGTAGAACATGAGATGTGAGTGGGACAGAGACCGGTGTCAGTAGAACATGAGATGTGAGTGGGACAGAGACCTGTGTCAGTAGAACATGAGATGTGAGTGGGACAGAGACCTGTGTCAGTAGAACATGAGATATGAGTGGTACAGAGACCGGTGTCAGTAGAACATGAGATGTGAGTGGGACAGAGACCTGTGTCAGTAGAACATGAGATGTGAGTGGGACAGAGACCAGTGTCAGTAGAACATGAGATGTGAGTGGGACAGAGACCGGTGTCAGTAGAACATGAGATGTGAGTGGGACAGAGACCTGTGTCAGTAGAACATGAGATGTGAGTGGGACAGAGACCGGTGTCAGTAGAACATGAGATGTGAGTGGGACAGAGACCGGTGTCAGTAGAACATGAGATGAGAGTGGGACAGAGACCGGTGTCAGTAGAACATGAGATGTGAGTGGGACAGAGACCGGTGTCAGTAGAACATGAGATGTGAGTGGGACAGAGACCTGTGTCAGTAGAACATGAGATATGAGTGGTACAGAGACCGGTGTCAGTAGAACATGAGATGTGAGTGGGACAGAGACCTGTGTCAGTAGAACATGAGATGTGAGTGGGACAGAGACCAGTGTCAGTAGAACATGAGATGTGAGTGGGACAGAGACCGGTGTCAGTAGAACATGAGATGTGAGACAGTGCGTGGGCGTGTTGCATTGGAGGTCGGTTGATCTTTTTGTCAGAGTGTGATTCTTTTTATATGCGTTGGACGGCAGTGCCAAATGAGGTGCCCATAGTTTAGCGGCTCAACACATACACGACACGTATTTACACACGTCTGTCACATTTGGGTGCTGCGAGAAGGGCTTGAACGTAGACTACCAAAAAAAAAAAGTCACGCGTCTGTCACAGTTGGCGTTTTCGGCATGATGGAAACGAGAAACAATAAGAATATCCATCAGCATCACATCCACTTGGTCACACAATTATATATATATATATATATATATATATATATATATATATATATATATATATATATATATATATATATATATATAACCACTTTAATAGCTTTAGACGCGCGCCCCTCTCGAGATAAATCCTTCCCTGTAAGTAAATCTACACGTCTTTGCACAATTATTTGTGTTTTTTTTACTTTCTCGTATATACGAAGTATAGAGAAAGTATTGTAATCGTGCACAAAAATAATATGAAATTTTGTCAGTTTTCACCGTTTTACTCCTCAGTCCTTCATCACATCCGGAGTATAGAGGACTTAATTTGATCAGGCAAAAATTATAAGTACAAATATATAAACGTTTTGGCGTTTTATGCGTCATCGAGTCGTAAAAACTGGACTTGCAATTCTGTCCGTATGTCTGTATGTCTGTCTGTGTGTAAACACGATAACTTGAGTACCGTTACAGCTAGGTTGATGAAATTTCATATATAAGTATTTTATCAAAATCGTAGATCCGTATTAACTTTTAAGCGATTTCCGATAACCGGAAGTGATACTTTTTCTACTTTGAATTTTTCAAAAGCCTATAACTTGAAATGAAATTTCACACAAGTTAAAGATCTAATTGTCTGCCTTCTGTCGAGTTTTGTGTAATTTCCGTTGACCGGAAGTAGTAATTTACGCTATTTCCGATTTCTGAAAAAACTAATGTAAATTTATAAAGTACTAATAATATTGCGCACTATTATGCACATTTTATTTGGCGTTCACTTTGTGTGCAATTCTTTTTTCTACGAGATTTTATTCTATTTTAAAAAGTTTAAGTATTTAAAATGGATTAAAAATCATGTCTATATCCCTAGTTCCCATTCCCTGTTGTTTTATATAAGAATATTCGAGAAAGATTAGGGGAGATCACTCCCGGTTTATTTTGTAAAGTTTTCACTTGTGACTTTTTTACTTTCTCGTATACGAAGTATAGAGAAAGTATAAATGTAATCGTGCACATTTTTTTTTTTAGATTTTCACAAATCTCGACGTTTTACACCTCCCTGGGTAGGAAAAACATAGTTTTGCAATTTTGTCCGTATGTCTGTGTGTGTTTGTGTGTGTGTATGTGTGTTTGTCTGTGTGTGTGTATGTGCGTCTGTGAACACGATAACCTGAGTACCGTTACAACTAGGTATGAGTATTATATCAAATTTGTAGTTCTGTTTCAACTTTTCAGTGATTTCCGATAACCGGAAGTGGAACTTATTCTACTTTTAGTTTTTCAAAATCCTATTACTTGAGTGCTGTTTGAGATAAATAAATGAAATTTCACACAAGTTAAAGATCTAATTGTCTGCCTTCTGTCGAGTTTTGAGTAATTTCCGTTGACCGGAAGTAGTAATTTACGCTTTTTCCAATTTCCTAATAAACGCTTATGAATTTATAAAGTACTAATAATATTTCACACTATTATACACATATTGTTTGCCATTCACTTGGTGCGCAATTATATTTTTTCTACGAGATTCCATTCTATTTTTAAAAGTAACTAAAAATGGATTAAAAATCATGTCTATTTCCCGGGTTGCCATCCCCCGTAGTGGTATATAAGAACACGAGCCGACCCGCGGCGTATCATACGCCACTATTTAGTTGTTTTATTTTCTACTTTTCAGTAATATGTGAATTCGACAGTACCAACGCTGCCACTAAAAATATTTGCTTTAAAACACTATCAGTAGCTCCTTAAGGACGAACCCACCCCCCCCCCCCCCCGTGAAAGTAAACTCCTCTTAGTTACATCCCCTAAGTTTAAAATCGTTTCAAACTAAATTATCTGCCCCTAATAGCCGTCACTATACCCGGCTCTACGATTGTAAACATTTAGCGTGAACCACAGCTCACTAGACTATGTAGGGGTTGGGGTGGTAGGGAGCGCGCTTACAGCTTGGTGTTTTCTATCGTCTCCAAGAAGAGAATTATATATATATATATATATATATATATATATATATATATATATATATATATATATATATATATATAGAGAGAGAGAGAGAGAGAGAGAGAGAGAGAGAGAGAGAGAGAGAGATTGGAGAAAGTTTAGGGGAGATCACTCCCTGTTTATTTATGTGATCTCTTTCCTAGCAAAACCTGTTACTTTATTTCCGTGACATTTTTTTTCTGTAAATTTTCCCCTGCTCAACCACCGCTTAGGCCGTGCCCCCCCCCCCCCCCTCTCCCACCATCACTCATCTCCGCCACATATGTAACTTACCTGCACCCGTCACTTTGAACACCACCGACAATCTATATCTGAGCTTATATAAAAGTATGCACAAAAGGCTGGCAATGTAATTATCCATATTCCCAAACAGTGAATTTCAATCATGAAATTCTTGAGCCTGATGAAAGCATTAGTCGTGGTGTGGCTGATCATGGCGGTGTGTTCTGCTAAAGCCGTAACTACTAACCCACCGCATGAACAAATAGATGGTAAGATACTACAGTTAACCTACGTTTTAAAACTCTTTTAGCGATAACGTTTTCTTATGTGACAACCTTTAAAAGCCCTTAACTAAGACTGTTGTATGCACTGATATTCCTGTCTACGTCCTACCGGTAATTGCAACATGTCCAATAAGAGAGTCTAGAGTACCGTGGGATTCCCCACCAGGGACAAACTAGGGAGTCTTGGGCGGGGCCCCGTCAGATTTCTCAACCGAGGCCAACCCCATTTAGAAGAAATATTTTTGTTTTCAGTGAATCCTGGGCTAAATACACGTTCATTTGATAACAAAATGCATGTACACAGATGAACCGGATAGATGAGGCTCGATGCCTGGGAACAGCAACCCATTTTGGAGAGAAAACTACAAAATCAAACAACTGCTGCATCGTAGTTCTTTCTTGGATGGACAAAGGCTGTGGAAGCAACTCCAAAAAGAGTCAACTGCCCATATGGCACACATCAATTAGACAATGCTTAATTTTATTGAAAAAAATCCCTTCCAACAAAATGTTCTAAAGCAGTGGTTGAAATCCCGCTCGCAAATTTGAACTGACAGACGAGTAAAATGTAAAAAGCATAACAGACAGTTTTTTTAATTTATTTTAATGCGGGTAAAGCTGGTTATTGTACACGATTTTATACTTGCTTTATTAATCCATTAGGTTGCTACTATAATGACCACTATTACGAAAAAGGACAGGAGGTTTCTCCAAAATGTTTTTGTGAGGGGTACCATGCCGTGTTCTGCCAGGTGGGTTTTGTTTGTTTTTTAAACAGTTGACCCAGGGGAGGAACTAGACCCTGCATGCGAAAAGGGGGGTGGGACCCAAAATCCGAACCAAAAAGAACCATTTTTTCACCTTTATAGACAAAAGGTTTTGTAAAAACAAATCTACTACTGTAGTGGTTGTTCTACAGTAAGTAACACATATTGTTGCATAGAAAAAAAAAACAGACGCTGTGAGCTTTGAAAGATAGGCAAACCTTCAAAACACTTCAACGACTCAGTGCTCCTCTTTAAATTGTCTAATAGTGGTGCCCATAAAGCTCATTTTAATAGCTATTTTTAAATACTTTTGTACTAAGCAAAATAAGTTATACCAATGAATAACTAATTATAAAAAGAAATGTATTCAAAATTAATAACATACATAAAAAACAAGAATAAAACAAACACGAGAAACCATTACCATATCAAAATACCATTTTTCATATCATTGGGCCGGCTTGTCAATTTTCACTTAACATTTCACAGTATTCGCCGTAAGACAATTTATAAATTAAAAAAAAGTAACTCAGACAATAACACACAAATTCACCCCGAAAACAACTCAGCATGACAGGTCTTTGCCTACTTTACGCCCCCCCCCCCCCCCGCCTTCATTGTACTCAGCAGCCACAACCCCTACAAAAATAAACATTGTAATGACACGATTCACTGACTGACACATCACCCCCTACCCCCTCCCTCTCACTCAGGTTTTTTTTTACCCCTATGATTCATCCTTTCGCTTGGTTTTGATGTTTTTACTAGCTCTGGATTGTTATTAGTTTAATATTTATTACTAGCCGTCCCGGCCAGGTCCTGCACTGGCCTCTGTAAAAAAAATATATCTGTAAACGACCATGACTTGCACCCTAACCACAAACAAATTAAAAAAAAAAACACTAACCCAAAAACAAACACAAACAAAACGCAAACCCTAACGCAAAAGCAAACAAAAACTCATACCCAAACATAAACGCAAACGTAACGCAAACGCAAACAAACAAACGCAAATACGCTAACACATAAGCAAACGCAAACACAGAAGAAAAACCAACACAAACGCAAACATAAACACAAAACGTGCTCTCTTGTGAGCTATATGGCGCCTACGTTCGTTTTAAAGAGTGCGATAGGCTTTAGATGGCATGCATTGCTATAGTCGTTCACTAAATCGAATCAGGAGCGTCTTTGGTGCCCCGGGAGAGTGGTATTGGGCTCCCTGACACCTGACTATTACGGAGAGTGATTAACGTACACTCAAGGCTTTCATACACCACGCCCTGGGGTGTGCTGGCCGGTAGTGCATGTAAACCCGTGCCCCGACAAATATGATCCAAGAAAAATCGCGCAGGCATTGTTTACGTTTAAATAACCCAGTTTTAGAAAACAAGGTCATACGTCTAAAATATAGGATTGGTAAGACACTGATGAAACTCCTAATATATTTCAAATGACTTATATCTAATCCCTCGCCAATGTACAGTGACGGGTATGCTAGTATATATATATATATATATATATATATATATATATATATATATATATATATATATATATATATATATATATATATATATATATATATATATATACTGCTGCGCTGCTCAATAGACTATAATTGCCACGCAACCACATAGACTACAACAGCTACCCGTCTATAGTTCTGTGTAGTTTATTTGAAAACACATCCGATGCATCATGCAGGCCACGTACACATCACTTGTGGCCAATTAACAGAAAACTATCGGTATATTAATCCGCATAAGATTATTCATAAATGTATGTTTCATACGTAGAGCAAGGGGATAATAAAGTGTTAAAACTGCAACTTAATTATACTGATAACAAAGAGAAGATTTTAATCAGCACATTCCACGAAATAACACGCGCAATACAGGTTGCATTTCTCTAAATGATGACGAGTAAGAAGTATTTTACGATGAACGATTTTGTTGGCTATTACAAATGTTTCTGTGCGCCGTGGCGGCGCCAAGTTAGCGCCTTAGGCAAAACTTATTAAACTTTTATATATACATACATATATATATATATATATATATATATATATATATATATATATATATATATATATATATATATATATATATATATATATATATATATATATATATATATATATATATATATATATATATATATATATATATATATATATATATATATATATATATATATATATATATATATATATATATATATATATATATAAAAGTTTAATAAGTTTATATACATAAGTTTATATACATATATAATAAAATGATTTTTTTTATATTTAAATATTTATATATATATATAAATATATATATGTATATATATATATATATATATATATATATATATATATATATATATATATATATATATATACATATATATATATATATTTATATATATATATAAATATTTAAATATAAAAAAAAATCATTTTATTATTTTTGCCCTTCCCTCCATCACTCCTTTTGTGGTCTTGTGTTGTTTGTTCGGCATTTTTTTTTTGGCTGTTCCACTTTACTAACTCAAGCTACAGTTAGATTAACGTAGCCAACGAGATATATTTCCATTCAGTTTGGTGGTTGACGGCCACATGTGGCAGCGGAATGTGGTTCCTGTAAATGTAGGTCTGTGTTAACAAAGATCATGCATTAATAAAAGCAAAACCTCAATGGCTTTCAAAGTTTTTACTTGTTAAAATTGTTAATGGGTGTGTTAAAAATGAATGTTTATTTGTAAACTTTAACCGCTGAAGATAATACCCGTAAAATTAGATGTATCACTTCTAACCAAACAGTGTGAACTGTCCTATATTTGACCTTCATATATTCGATAGCTGTAATGGAACAACACTCGTAATCAGCAAAAAGAACCCATCACTCTGGCTGTCATCAATAGAGTTCCAGTCGATAGAGCTCCCAGCAGAAGGGCTGTCCCCATTAAGGCTGCAGACAAAAAATTCCCGTCGTAAAGCCCCATTCTCAGGCCTTAGGACTCCCACTTAAAACATTGAGCTGTACTCGATCACTGACACCATCAAAGCACCACGCACTCGCTATTTGCCTAGCTTCAAAACTAAGCGAAAAAAGATGGAGCAGGAGTAGTATATTAGGTCCCATTTGGGTATTATATCGATCGGGGAGAGGTGGAGGTGGAGGAGGAGTGACCTCGATACCTCCGCGTTACCCCGCCCCTTGTGTTCTGAGAAGCTGAGGACAAGTAATTACTTAGCCAGCTATCTCATCATCAGTTCATTATGTGCCCATTTATCTCATTACATCATCAGTTCATTATGTGGTCATCTATCTCATTACACACCAGTGGCTAGCTATCTCATCACATCTATAAATAACTTTGCGACCAAGGTTGAGTGGCTAGGTCTGACGATGCCTGGTCTTACACCAGTTGTTAGTTACAATATTTGTAGTAAAAATTTGTCTTATTTACACCCTTTGTGCTACATATAGTTTATTAGAAGTTTTTATTTTTATTTTTAATTCTTGCTTGTTGGTTTCATGCACGATTATTTATTTACATAGGTGAGACTATTTTGCAGTCATTAAATTTTAAGTTTTCCTAGTGATGACATTCTACACCTTTTTAGATGTAAGCCCTGCTAGGGGGGGATACCTAAAATCTACCCTTCTAGGCTTATCTATTACCGTCCGGTCAGTGCAAGCCCGGCTAAACCCAGACTGGTTAATACCTTAACCTTAGTCTAAATTTTAAAAAAGCAAAAAACTTTAACAAATTAATAAAATTTATTTACCAAAAATATGGAACCAATGAAAAATCACAAAAAAAGAATAGATAAAAACTACTGACACAAAACAGACAAAACAATTTATATCCAACACAATAGGACAAATACTATGTGCAACAAAACAGAACCAAACAAAACCAAACAAAACAAACTTTTTACACCAAACAAAACACCCAGCCAAGTTGCCCAAGCAACCTCACTCCAACGCACGAAGCGCGACCACAGAAGCTGACCTGACCTACATTCTAGCGGTCAAAAAGAAAGAAAATATCCGAGTGGTCAGTTTATATACTGACCGCTTCGGGCGGAAGGGGGACCCCGTGGCCGCTCCCCATTGGACCATGCATATAACAATCTTAAAATAACACATGCACCCATCTCTTACATCAAGCCTATAAGCTTGAATGCAAGAAAAAAAGAAACAATTTACAATAACATTAATCGTGCGTCTGTGTTCCCTAAAAAACTCAAGGCACCAAGATAGTGTTCCCTTTACTGAGGGCTGATCCGCGCTAATAGTCCTGTTGGTCTTTCATCCGGAAGGGCAAGGGGGGAGGTTCAGGATAGACCCGCCCGCTACTAATGGCACACGTTGCCGGTCCATCCCGTCCACCTGGGTCCACTACACAACACACCGTGTTCTGGTTCTGGCCTCAGCGTAAGACCACCGGTAAAACGTCCGCTTAGTTGGTTCAGATATGACGCAACCGTCTTGCTCCACTGGCTCTCGTGCTGTTGCCCGCCTCCAATGACCATGTGTCCGCCTCGACGTACCTGCGGGGCGGGTGTCCAGTTAGCCCTCTTAGTGGGTCAAGAGCTGACGCAACCACCTTGCACCACTGGCTCTCAGTCTGTTCCATGCCCCATGATAGTGCCTTGGTATAGACACACCTGCGGGGCGGTGTCCAGGTAGCCCTCTTTGTGGGTCAAGAGATGACGCCATAAGCCGTTCGTTGTTCACCGGTCTGCCGTACACACCAGATCCGTGCCACGCCCGTGTGTGTTGTCCAGTCTAGACCACTAGACCACGCGAGGCCGCCATCTTCATCACACGCCAGGTCCAGTGCCACACACCGTGCCTTGTCCAGCCACGCACACTGAAGGCTCGTCGAGGCACGTCTCTCCGCCAACCTGACTGGGTGTTTGAACAACAAACAATTCCTACACTAAACATAAACTGAACACATATGGTTCCAAAAAGGGCCTATCAAAAACAAAAAATTTAACTAAGCTACACCTAGCCCTAGCAAAAAAAACAAAAATTTAGCTAGACTAAAGCACTGTCCCACTCGCGCTACCAATTTGTAAGCCCTGCTAGGGGGGGGGGGATACCTAAAATCTACCCTTTTAGGCTTATCTATTACCGTCCGGTCAGTGCAAGCCCGGCTAAACCCAGACTGGTTAATACCTTAACCTTAGTCTAAATTAAAAAAAGCAAAAAACTTTAACAAATTAATAAAATTTATTTACCAAAAATATGGAACCAATGAAAAATCACAAAAAAAAAAGAATAGATAAAAACTACTGACACAAAACAGACAAAACAATTTATATCCAACACAACAGGACAAATACTATGTGCAACAAAACAGAACCAAACACAACAAACTTTTTACACCAAACAAAACACACAGCCAAGTTGCCCAAGCAACCTCACTCCAACGCACGAAGCGCGACCACAGAAGCTGACCTGACCTACATTCTAGCGGTCAAAAAGAAAGAAAATATCCGAGTGGTCAGCTTATATACTGACCGCTTCGGGCGGAAGGGGGACCCCGTGGCCGCTCCCCATTGGACCATACAATCACAGATTCGCACCAAATAAAATAATACAAAATAATCCATTCACCCGCTCACATAGACACACAACACACTTACACACACACAACACTCACACACACACACACACACACATAGACACTCACACGCAACTGAAACTAATATAAAATGAAATCACATAAAAAGTCTTCTTAAATTTTATTAATGCATTACACGTTTTTCAAAATCATCAAAGGCTTTTAAAATATCATGCTGTAAACTAAACAATCTTTCAAAACATACTCGAGTCATAGTAATACCCGAATTAGCAGGAAATTTAAGATCGGTGCCATCCAAAAGATCTCTAAGATTTAAACTGCTTTTGTTCATGAATTGAGTGACGATCGCCAATTTAAAGCCTCTGCGATTCGTCGTTCGTATTTCCGTAACTTTACTGCTACCCCGGGCCACAAGAAGCCAATCCTCACTAGACATCTTGAAATCGCGGAAATAAGCGTTTGTAATTAGTTCCAATAATTTGAAGTGTTAATCGTAATATAATACGATCGAAAATGTATTGTCGATTCGGTTACGCTGAAAAGGGTGTAGTATAACGTTTAAACTACCACCCCAAGCTTTCTCCAAAACAAAATAAACTGCATGTAATCCACAACTGTTGGTTAGAATATCTTGCAACGCTCTTGAATTGTGCACGAGTGGTCTGTTTGAATTATTTTTGATAAATGACAAAATAGCAGGTTGACGTGGTTGTAATCCCTAAACAACAGTTGTCTAAAACAGAATCGATAATCTGTTTTTCAGTTAGGGGCCATTTTTTACCATAGGATGGTGTCGGTGTCTTTTGAGATTTGTCTATATTGTTTAAAAATATTCTTTAAAAGCCGGGTTGGTCTTTTTAAGATTACCCCACTCGCATTCCCACATGTCTATTACCTTTACATCAACACTATCGGTCAGATATCTAGTAATTTCAGCTGTCTTTTCGGATAACTCAGTCAAGGGTCTGTTACTAATGGGGTTTACGGTTCTACCTTTAGTTAAGGGGCAGTCAGGGTGTCCGCGAAAGAGGCAGCCATGGAATCGATAAACGGTTCGTTTACTCTCATATGTCTGGATCCCAAACTAACTTCGCCCCCATGTAACGCTGTTTTTAAAGTCACGTCCTTTGTTTTTAAAACCCATGTTAAGCATATACAAATATATCAATGGGGAAAAATAACACGGTGGTGCGCACTCGTGTAGGACCATCTTGAGACGAGAGCCCAGCTACCCCTAGCACAGTGCCACTCGATCTTCAAGGACATCAAACAAAAAATAGGCCAAAGATTTTCAGTCTTCAATTTTTTTTTGTAGAATATATTGGAAACCTATTTAAAAAGCGAACTAGATCACTGACTAAAATGGCTCAAAATTTTAATGGCATATGTAATTATGGGGGGGGGGGGTGTTTACAATTTTTTCAGGGGAATGTTACGAAAACCCAAGTCAGCTGTTGCGGTGCCAAATATTGACGACAAGCACGCCATGGGCTGGCGAGTCACCAAGATACCAAAACTAGTCTGTTATTGGTGAAATGGTGAGCAAAACGGCGATTGGTGACACTGTTCTGTAGGTGAGACAATGGACGGGTGGGGACACTGTGATGACGGCAGGTTGTGGTGTTTTGTGGTGTTCGACAGGGTGTAATTTTTGTGTGGTTTGTGATGCTTTTTTGTAATATTCGGCAGAGGTTGATGTTTTATTTTTGTGATATTCGGCAGAGGGAGATGTTTCATTGTTGTGATATTCGGCAGGGGGTGATGTTTTATTGTTGTGATGTTGGGCAGGGCGTAATGTTTAGGAGATATGATATTCGGCAGGTGGTCAACATCTGGGTCACAACTGAAAACCCGTGTCACGCGGATGTCGACGTCAGTACGTGTCGATGCGCATGCGTGGCCATGAATGGCGCTGGATCCCTATGGAAGATTTGATGTATGTAAATATTATGCGTGAAGTGAAGAGTGGGAAAAAAGAATGGTAAAAGAAAACGGAAAAATTCTCATTCACCGTGGTCATTGTGTGTAGGATGCGGTTGTGCTGGTTAGATATGGATGTGCTGTTTTGATATGGTTGCGCACTGTGTTCACC